GTGGTGGGATACAAACAAAGTTAACTAAAACTGAGGGGTTCCGAACACAGCGTAACAGTGTCTAAGGAGACTCAGGAACTTTCTCAAGGACTTTTAAATACTGAAGTGTGACACATACAAATGACAATCACATCCCACTAAAATCCTAAACTTTGAATAAGTATTCATTTATTTATGATCTTTTACATAGGTTGCAAGGGTTGTTCATGGGGCTCTAGCTTAAATGAAAAAGAAAAAAAAAAAAAGTATAGATTGTTGCCTTTCTCTTTCTGTGTAAGTGCTACAATACAAGAGGTTTGTTTTGCAGGGGCCAGAGGGCACTTCTGACATACTCAATTACCTACGCGCCCAGAACACAAAAACGGAGTCCTAGAATGTTTTCTGGGGCTGCGGAATTTCTAATTTTATTATCACTAAATTATACTAAAATACCTTTCTAACCTCTCTGGGGAACTTAAGTCTAATACCCAAAGATCCTTTGGAGTCTGAAATATTTTCGCCTGAAAAGGAAGCTTATAGTCTTCATTCAACTAGAAGTTAGAGATAATGGAGAAATTAAAGGCGAATCAAACCAAGATAAAGATCTATAGAGGAGTAACTTAGGGTCATGTCAGTGCTTAAATGACCTCTGTGTAGAGCAGGCGTGTGGGCCAGTCTAAGGAGAAGAGGAGAATTCACACCGAAAAGACCTGGATTGGTGCGAATGACCCAGATGTGTGGCTAAAACAAGCAAACAGGAGAGCACAGTGGGCTTAGCTGGACAGACCTCTACCAGGAGCTGCACGTAGATTTTAAAGAACATGAAAAGTATAGTTAGATGGAGGGAAGGAATATAGCTAGGAGGAAGGTCACAAAGGAAAATGAAGAAATCCTTATTTCTGACGGCACTGGGGACACGTGTCAGGCCAGGCAGATCCTTATTCCCACGAGGTCTGAGCAAAGGGTATAAATGAGGCCCACACGCCGCACATCTTCTCTGCCCCCAGCAAACCCCAAGGCAGGCAAACTCTGCCCACAGGTGCCCCACCCCTGCTCCCACAATCGCCCTCCAAGGCCGGGTTCAAATTTAGCATTCTTGGACTCCCCAGGGTCCCCTGCCAGAAAGCGGTAGCACAGACAGATCTACTCCTGACCACGGCCTGCTCCCCTCCCCTCTCCATCCCCGGCTCTGCCCCACACCAGCGCGGGGAGACAGTCCTCTTCGGGTCTTGTACCGCTGCGGGTTTTACTGACTGTGCCATCGCTGCGAGGCCCTGACTGCTCTTTCCGTGGGTCACGACGTGGGCTGTTTGTGAGATGAGGTCACATATCCGCCTGAGCAAAAAGCAGGTTCATTTGCCGCTTGCTACAAAAGCATGGATGCCCCCAGCTCAGGGCTCCTTCGCTGTGACACACACCCACAGAGAGCACAGCATCCCCCCAGACGCACCGTGGAACGTGGGGGCAAGGAGAGCCGACGCAAACACGCCAGCGCTCATGCTGCTTGCTGCGCTGTGAGCGAGCGAGCCCCTCGTCTCTGACCCAGGAATCTGACTTCTGTACATCGGCTCAAATGGAATCCCAGGTCGTACACTCTATGAAGGATTTTAGGCAAACACCTGCCCAGATTCATGCTCCATGCTCGGCCTTCACAAAGAGCTGTCTCTGGCTGCCCCGTCAGCCCCGGGGGTGGCCGTCTGGTGGCCTGGTCTACCCTTCGGAAAACGGATTCGGGGTGGAGATCCGCACAGGCCCTGGGAATGGACTAGGACCCTTTGGGTGGGGAACTGAAGGATCAGGGGTACCAAGGCCTGGTCTGCAGGGCTAGAGTGAGAGCTCCGGACAGACACACCCTCTTGGTCCTGCCGATCACTCTCCCTGTGGAGAGGGGTGTGGCTGGAGGACAGCCAAAGCAGCGTCCTCTGAAACATGGGATGGAAAGCGAGGCCCCTTGTGCAGGCATAAAGTCGGCCCTAGGCCAGGGAAGGGCAGTCAGTGGTCTTCAAAGGGACACAGAAGAGGGTCAAGGTAAGGACAGCTTTAAAAATTAAGTGTCTGAGTTCTCATCCCCATTCTACCTCTAGATGTTTGGATGACCTTGACTTCGCTGGGCCTCAGTTTCCCAGTGATTCAAGTTAAATAAGATGCTCTCTAAAGTGCACTTCAAGTCTAAGCACCTGTGATTCCAGAAACCAGGGCTCGAGGTTGGGGCCTCACAGCAAAACAAAAAAATGAACGGAGCAAACCGAGCCACAAACACCTAACGCGGCCGCGCTGGGCAGTGTGCGCGCATCGCTTACTCGTTCGGAAGAAAAGACTATGAAGGGGAAAGATGGGGTTCCTCAGGAGAGGCCAGGGGAGGGCCGGAGGCGAGTGATAAGCACGGGACAGCCAGGAGGTCCACGGGCGGCCCCCAGCCCCGCCGGCACTCCGGAAGTGAAAATGTATTTCCCGACTGAGCACAGAAAGGGGGCCCCCGGGAAACCATCTCTCTCATCTCACACGTTTCCTGCAATTAGGGGATCACCTCGGCAGAGGAACCGAGAAGGTGCTTTCTCAGTGTCAGCTCTGCCCCCTGCGGCTCCCGGCAGAGGGTTCTGCACCTCCTCTCCTGGCCCCATGCTCTTCCAGTTCTCTGAGCTCAGCTGAAAGGGTCTTGTCACCTAGACACCACGAATATGCTAGGTGGCTGCTGCTGAGGGCAGAATAAACCGAAAGATCTGGGATGGCTCTAGTCCGAGCCCTCACTTTCGGCTGGATGGAAAAGTCCCATGTGGGCACAGAAATAGTCACACGGGAAGAGGTACGATTGTCCTTTAATTTGATCAATGCTGAAATACCCACTCGCCTTTCCCGCCACGTCGTGCCCTGTGACACGATGGCGCCCGGGGTGTCCCATCCCACTTCTGGTGACTCAGGATCCTGTTTCCTTATAGCAGTCCCTTCTACCTCTGTCCGGCTACCTCCAAAGGACGATGACACGAGAGGCATGAGCAGGAACACAAATACAGGTGCGGCTCGTTAGGCCCGGCCCTGTACTTAGTTCAAACACGCGGTCACTTACACGATGTGACATAAACAAGAGCTCCAAAGGTCTCCCCTTACCACACGCCCTGAACACCAACTCCTCGTGACTGGTTTAGGGCAGGAGACTGCCCAGGTTGACATCGCAGTCGCTTTGGCTGGTGTCCTCGGCGCAGGGGGCCTTGGCAGGGAGCACAAGAAAACCGGGGAAGAAGCTGGAAGGGGCGCGGGCGCGGGCCGGGCCGGGCCCTCCTCTGTGGCGACCGGAGCAGCTCCGCTTTTATTTCTTGACCTCTTGAGCCAAAACACGTTAAAAGCTGCCGGACTTAGAAATTATAGACCTCAGAGTTCCCCGATAAGATAATCGACAGGACAATTGCAGATCAATCCGTCGTCAGCCATTACCGCCAGGAAAGTTTTGTGCCCTAGGAGAGGTAAGTTTTACAGAGGGAGAAGAAATGGGAGGACACACACGGGGCCTCTGGAGGGACCACAGCAGAGGCCCCTGACAGCCAGGCACAGAGCAGAGACCAGTATCATGAGGGGGCTGTTTATTTCCATGGTGATCCCAGTCGGTTCAATGGCGTAAAGTAAAGACATACGGAAAATCGTGACCGTCTCTCAGAGAAGGACGTGAGACAGGCTGACCCCAAGCTCAAACATGCCACTGTGTTCCCACACCTCCTACTGTGTAATTAACGTCACGTGAAAATCACTATGGCCATTATTTAAAACAATAAAAACATTTGGCAAAACGTAGATTGTTGTTCCGTGGAGTCAGATGCGCCTTGCATCAATGTTCCTCAGATGATGGCTCTTCCTCGGAATCTGAGAGGAATAAGAATTCTGTAGAACTATATTTATTGATAAAAAAAAAATATGGCCAGTGTATTTCATTAAGTGGAAAATTCCTTAATGAAAGAGTATTTCCACTAGAAACACATACGTGTAAAATATTCCAAAATGTAAACATATCTCAGGGCAAAAGGATTGTAATTTTTTTTTAATTTAAATGTATTTTCTAATTTTTTTTCTACAGTGCCATGTGTGGGTTTTGGGGGGGTAGGGGGTTAAGTTTTAAAAATATGAAACAGCATGTTCATTCAGCCTGGAAAGGAGAGGAGAGCCTTCATCACCAGCACCCACGGCTCCCTGCACAGCCGGTGCTGCGCCTCTGCTGCCCCCATGTGGCATGTAAAGACCTGACACCCAAAGCTCCTGATGACCTTGGAGAGCTTCCTCTTCTGCTTTCCCCAGTTCATGGCCTGGATGTGTCCCCCACTCATGAACACCAGTCTTCCACAGCAGAACGTGCTAGGAAGGGCGTGGCAACTCCTGTCTGCCCAGGATGCTAACGTGATGGACACGGAGTCCGGTCGGTGGGGGTCAGGACTCAGGGAACCACTTTGGCGGGAATGAACGTGGAGACAAGAAGGAACGCAGCCTCAGGAGACTAACGGCCTACGGCAGCTGTGGAACCAGAATCCTCAGGTGGTATTGGAGACGTCTCCAATATGTTTACTTACCTCTGTGGTGAGCCTAAAGAGCACCTAAGGCGGCTGCCCTTGACCTGCTCTATGAGTACACACTCGCAGAAATGCAGAGGGAAACTTCAGTGGGGTCACAGCATCCAACACTCCCCCTGATGGTAGTTTTAACTTTATGACTAGGTCAACGTGCTGTTTCAGCTACAAACCACGAAGATTTAGGAAAGGGGAGCCACATTTAATGTTCTTATCAAAGGACATGCAAACAGATTTAACCTGATCCTTTAGCATTTGCTAAATTGTGAGCAGGCATTAATAGGATGTCCAGACAAATACTTTACTCTCAAAGCGTAGGTACGCACCCCGTACACACACAAACACACACATTCTGTTTGAAACTTCTCAGTTCTTAACCCTAGACCTTAACCTCTTTCTCTTGCATATGACTGAGGGATACAGCTCAACATGGAAGCTCCAGAGTCAGATTGCCTGCATTCAATGCGGCTCTCGCAGATACTGTGTGACCTTGGGCAAATCACCTAACCTTGCTGAGTCTCAGTTACCTTCTCTTTATCATGGGGATAGTAACAGAATCACACTCAGGGGACTGTTGGAAGGTTAAATGACTTAATATCTGTAAAGTGCTGAAAACAGTGCCTGGCACGGGAAGTACTAGAGGAACTCATTAACTCACTCCTTCCTTTAGCTGCATTTCGAAATGGCTTTGACATGTCATTAATTAAATAGTTCATTAATTTTTAAAAACAGTAATTAAAAAACAAATTTCGTTTGTGATGGGACACGCATGTGCCTGTGCACACACGTGTTTGTGTGTACGTGCGTGTGTACATGTGTACACATGGTGCGCGTGCGTGCGTATGTGCGTGCGTGTGGCAGAAACAAGTGGGTGAAGAACAGCCATCCTGAGCACCCTGGTACAAGCATCCTGTCAGAGTGATCGCCCCCACTTTCCTTCCAGCTCTGGTCCTGGATCGGCCTCCCATCCCCCACCTTCCATTAGGCAGTTCGATCAGCTCCTCACGCCACAACGCTCACCTGTTGGTATTCTCCAGAACCTCAACCTTCTTCCGAAGCTCCAAGTTCTCGGTTGAACAAGACTCCACCCTGCAGAGGGGAGAGAAAAAAGAAAATTCATTTCATCAGGAGAGCAAACGCTAAGCCAGGAGCTCAGATGACAGTAAGTGGGGGTCGGAGAAAGAAGATGGGGAGTCAAGTACTCTAGGGAGGTGAAGGGAAAACCTTGGCCAACCTGAGTTGGGAAGATGAGTGAGAGACAAGAAAAAAAACAAAGAGTTGAGTACCAAAGTGCCTTGAGAATAGAAAATGAATAGGGATGATGCAAAATATAAACTTTTAGGGTGTTCCAACTTTGCTTTCTCTCGCCTCTTCCCCACCACTCTCAATGCCCACACACTTCCTCCTCTAGACCACGGGGGAGCCAAATGGTACTTAATCCATATTTTTCTAACAGCCATCTTGATATTCTAAGCTTTCCAGAAGAGCAAAAGCTGCTTTCGACTGTTTTTGTGAAGAGTCACTTGCCTATAGCATGAATTCCAGTGGACAGAAAACTGACTTTTTTCACTCCCTGACTGCTTGCTCTAGGGTGTGAGAGAGTGTGGCCGACGGGAGCCGACTCGTCAGCACTGCTCCCTTCAGCGGAGACAGAGCCTCTCCTCCGAGGAGTTGCAGGAATGGGCGAGAATGTTAATATCTGTGCTTGTTTGAAAGGAAGCCTTCAAGGACTCAAGGATCTTTGGCTGGAAACAGTGTGGTACAAACGCCTACCGAGACTGCGTATACTTTTTACTTCTTGCCTAATAAGGTTCCTCCGTGAACACCACTAGGTGGCAGGCAAAACACAGTTTATAAACTACTGGGTTTTGCTGGGAACCAGGCTGAGAACTTCATCTGCTTCTCATGGAAAGCAGATGCTTTGCGCACTATGTATATTGCCCAATAAACGTAACCAGTTTGGCAGGAGGCTTACTTTTTCTCTAAGCTGTCCATGTATTCTTTCTTCTTTCTCCTACTTTCCTGGGCAGAAATCTGAGACATAAGGGAAGAAAAAAGATTAAGTTCCAGTTATACCAGTAAACGGCAGAGGAGGCCCTTAGCACAGAAATCACGAAAGCCCCGCTTGCTTTTCAGCTGCTCCCCATTTGTTTATTCTGCTGGCTCATCTACTCATCGCGGCTACTGTCTGTCCTCCCTGGTTTCAACCAGCCTATGCTCTCACCCGCTTCCCATCAAACCAGGCCCCCCGTGGGAAGGACAGTGGGCCGGAAGTCAGAACAGAGCAGGTGGGCGGTAAACCATCGGTATGGTCTTAGAGAAATGATTTCAATTCCATGGACCTCAGCTGGTTCAACTATAATCTATAAAATAAGACAGTTGGGCTTGGTCACATATAAATTCCTGGTGGTTCTGCACACGTGTGAAGAATTATAACTAAGCTCTATTCTTCTTCCCCTCTTTGACTCCTGCCTCCTGCTCCGCCCATGCCTTAGCCCCGCCCCTGGGCCTTACCATCCCTAATTCCCACTCTAGCACCCTTAGGACTAGGAGGCTGTTAAACCCCAGTACACAGAACAATGGTCTGCAGAAATTTTTTAAATAAAAAAAATCCCCCATCGAGAAGAAAAAATTAAGAAAAGACCCAGGGTGTATCTATATTTATTTATCTATAAATGATATAAAGGCCTACTAGTGGCAAATATTGTGTACATCATAAAACAGAAATTGAAAAGGCTGAGCCTTTTTTAAAAATCGATTTAAACAAGAGTTCTAATATGTTCCTCCCACCCCTGACTGTATCATCTTGGGCACCAGGGAGCGAGCCCATCCAAACTGGGGATCCATGGACCCAGAGGACGGATGGAGGCGCTGGAGGAAGACAGGGGCAAGCGGTGACTGTGCTGCTAGTCCTGGGCCGAGTCTCGGTCCCCATCTGGGACGGGCCAGTGTTGGCCCATGGGAAGACAGGGAGGGCACATGGCCCCCTTCTGCTCACGGTCTCTGCTCACAGAAGTACCTAGACTTGAAGGGCTCACCTTATTCTTGATTTTCCTCCGGATTTTCTTCAGGGCCTTCTCCTCCGATTTGGTCAGAGGCAGCTTGGTGGGGATGGGGTAGCCCTCGGCGATCAGGGTCCGCTTCTCCTCCTCTGTCAGGACCAGGGGGCCTGACCCCTGCAGTTTCTGTGCAGACCAAGGAGCAGAAAAAGGTCAGAGAAGAAGGGCTGGGCACACTGAAGCCACGCCTCCGGAGGGGGCGAGAAGAGCCTGTTATAATATCTTGCAAAAGGCTGAGAGGAAAGGATGCCCCGGCGCTTCCGCTGAGAATCGGGTATCCTGAAGGAAAAGCAGATGGAGAAGTGGCATAACCCAAGGAAGGCAAGGGAAAGGTAAGGAAACCTCCACCTGTTATTTCCTAGAAGGCAATCCACTAGCAATCGTGCCCAAGGTAAGAGCACAGACTTCGCTTCCCACATCCCTAGAGATGCCTGGCCTTGGGGTGACGACGGGTTCCTGTGAAGCTCCGCTCTGCTCGTGGGAACGAGTTTTGTTGTTTCTGAAAATGCCGTTTTGCAAGATGCTCTCTACTCTCTAGGCGTCGCTTCCTGCCCTGCACTTACTACTCACAGGTCGGGACACCCAGGGCTGCACCTGCAGGCGCCTCCCAAGGACGGTTCTGGCTTCGGTAAAGTCCCAGACTGGCTATCAATGAAGATGACAACTGTCGCTCATCTCACTTAACCCATCACGGAATAACGCATTTCTAACTAGTCAAACAGACTGAGTCCCTAGCGTGTACTCGCTCCACGTTACATGCCATGGGGGACTCAAAAACAAACTCCAGCTCTCCAGCAGCTTATGATCAAAACTGAGACCTGACTGAACACATGAAAGGATGACAGCGATTAAATGATACCCTGCTATATTAACTCAGGGAGCACTGAAAATTTAGTCAACACTTATAGGAGCGTGAGTGATGAGGGAGGGCTCGGGATAGGAGATAAGACTTGAATTGGGCCTCTTGAAAAAAAAAAAAAAGGAGATGATTTACACGAGAGAGAAGGGCATTTTAAGCAAAAGGCAGTATCTGAAAAGTGAAGGTGCTGCTCTGCCCGGAGTGGGTAAGGAGTTCCTGAAACGGCAGAGCGTGGAGACACCTAACACAGAGCGGGCTTGACGGCACAGGTGAGGGAAACACATACGGTCACTGAGAAGGGCGTGACCCTGGGAGGACTTCCTCCATGAACGTAAACCGTGGCGGGACGTCAGATGTATAGGATGAAAGCTAGTCTAGTAATCAGAGGGGTCGAGTTAGAGTGGGGAAGGTAGAGGCAGAGTGGAAAGAGTTAATAATCCCCTTGTCCTTTGTAACGGTGATATAAAAGAATGTGGCCACCGATCTAGAACTTTCTGGGACTGGCCGAATTCGAGTTTTCAAAATTATGTTAAGACGGTTCTGATAGAATTTTTAAATATTCTCATTTCATTCACACTTTCTCTACGTGATATTATAAATTTAGTGAGATTATAATTTTATCATTCTTAAGATTTCATAGAAATCAATTCATTCCTCAGAACAATAAAAAGTTAATTTTCTATCCCTATTTTTTATTTGGAAAATGGTGCCCTTAGATACGTTAGGGATGGATGATGGCTCATGACTTCTAACCCGTCACTGGTTGAGTCAGACCACCAAGAAAAAGAGATAAACTATATTTTTGAGCTTTAGACATCAAAGCATTGAAGCTCAGAGAGATTTTTAAGTTTGTCAAAGATTACTTATTTAAAAATTAAGTTACTTCCTATTGTAAGTTGTAACGATCACCAAAATTGATGGTAAATATCTGTGATAGAATTTTGAGGGGAAAAAACAACACATTTCTATTCCTCGTGCTTATGGGTATACAAAACAAACATAAATAAAACCGGAAGTGTGCACGGGGAAAAGAGAGAATCATGTTAGCATGGTGAGATGATAGGAAGTTTTCAAAATGTCCTTTAAGATGGTTACCACCTGGTTTTAAACCTAAGACTTCCTTACGAGAATAAAAATCAAGTGGCCTTGAATGGCACCCGGCCTGGGAGAAGCTCCAAGTGACAAACGGAAAGGGTTCGAGTCCAGAGATGCCGGCACAGACTTACGTGAGGTGCTGTGAGCAGGGGAGAACTGGAAAGTGTGGAGGGGGCCCGCACCACGGCTCGGGCTGGACTGTGCGTCTGGGCCGGGCCGAAGGGGTGCAGGCGCGGGCTGGGGCTCAGGCTGCCCTCCGAGTCACTGCTGTGGCTGCTGGGAGGGGTGGGCGGTAGGTGCAGGTGGTCCACGGAGGCTGGGGGAAGGGAAGCAGATTTCATCCATCAGAGAGCAGCGAAGCAGGGCTTGGGGAAGGCTAAACGGCTGTATATCCACACAGCACAACTGGGGACAGCTGGACAGAAACATGAGGCAGTTCATTGAGCTGATAAGGAAAAATCTCCAAGATGCACTGTTAAGAGGGTGGAGGAAAATCAAGGTACAGTACAGTGTATAGAGTAGCCCCCCTTTTGTATGAAAAAGGAAAGACAGAGAATACAGACTTATATTTGCTTGTACCTGCATAAAGAAACCCTGGATAACATATAAAAAACTAAATTACGACCTAATGGCGGGGGAAATTAGGGTAGAAGGGGAACGTGTTGGCATAATTTTTCACTGTATTTATTCAGGATCGTTTCTATAGTTGGACTTGTAACCTAAGCGAATGTATTATGACCTTTAAAAAAAAAATAAAGTGAAATCTGGGAGCCCATGAGGCTTTGAGAAAAGCTTATTTGTTTCCGGAGGAATGTGCACGGCGAGATGCCAGGCATTCTGCATTCACAGCACTGAATCCACATGTAGATAAGTAGGCCTGGAAAACAGACGGGGGGCACAGGGGCTTTGTCCTGCAAAGCCCCCCATCATCTGAGAGTCCACCCCTCGTCCATCCTTAGGGAGGTAAGGTACACACACTCTTTGCCAGGGCCCATTAGCCTCGGCCGGTACCTCGGTCGGTACCTCGGGCATCTCCAGGGCAGCGGGGAGGGGCCCCTAAACAGAGAATCCACTCTCGGTTCAACCTGACAAGAGAGCTCTGGGGTCTCGCTCCTTTTTCCGAGCGGTGGATCTTTCCGCTATGCTCAAATACTCTGACGGCCAGCTGCTATTACTGAGCCGAGGCACGTGACCTTGGTCAGCCTTTCACACCACACCTTCCTGGGGATCCCGGGACAACACAGCCCTCAGCACAGCGGCTCTGCACTGGGCACAGCGCCTGGGTGCCTGGGTGCCTCACACACGCCTGGCCTTGCTAGGCCAGAGAGCTGCTAGGGGCTGTGGGCGAAAAAGGGGCTTTGCAATAAACCTGACCAGCTCAGGGGGTCTACATGGCAGGCCTGACAAGTCTAGTGGCTAAAAGTGGCCACACAGGATGATCAGATCACGAATTCCTAACTGGGTAGGTCACAGCGGGCAGTCACGTCCCAGGCCTATAGCTTCCTCAGCAAAGGTCAGTCTTTACCTTGAGTGAGCCCTGTCCAGCGTTCTTATGCATCTGGGATAACATATTTTGAAATGTCAGAGTAACTTCCTTTTCCTACTCCTCAAAGGTGCGACCGCCAGCACCAGAGCACGAGATCCCCAGAGCACGAGACCACAGGACCCCACATTGTTATCTTGTTCGCCCCCACACCAGCTCTGTGTGCTGTAAAAGTTCATTATTAACTAGCCTGACTCACCAGTGTAAAAGAAGCATCTCTCCCCTTTGCCTTTTTTCCAATCCTAGAGATTTCCCGACTTTGCTTCCTGCCAGCCCCTAATCTACCACCAGGGGATTTCATGAAACCCTCCCTTTTGTCTAATGTATAAAATAAGCTGCAAAACCTCCATCCTCCGGAGCATTTTCTCATTCTGCTGAGGCGTTGCTTCCCAGCAACTGTCATCAGTTTGGCTCAAATAAACTCATAAAACGACTACAGGTCTGCACGCTTCCTATGGCAACGGGGCCTCAGGCCTGTCCTCTCTTCTTTGTCAAACAGAGACTGCCTGACGTGGCACCAGTGGGAAGGGTCCTTCTGAGGCGCGACTACTCTCCCGAGGAGAGCGACCCCACCCAGAGCGTCTTGAGAGGGTCGACCAAGGTCCCCAGTGTCCTGAATGCCTAAGCGCTTATGGTGCTGAGGGGCTCTAGGCCGTGGCAGCCCACGTAGACACACCGAACCCTGAGCCTGTAAATGCCTCAAGGTTATGAACTCGAAACGTGAAAGTCGACCAACCACGAACAGCCAACGAGGTTTCAGGCTGAAGCCCAGGCGACCTCGGCCTCTCCTCTGTAAGTCTCTCCTGGGTCTCCAGCTGGCGGAGTGCTCCTCACCACTTCCGGTTTGGTGCTGCCTGGTTGCTCAACATTTATAAATGCCTCAGTTTACCTTTCGACAATGGTAGAAACAACAACAACACACAGAGGCAGACTAAGCCATAGGGGCCCCTGCTGCCTGCCACGCTGTGCTGTTATCTGGAGAACCAGCCAAGAGACCTCACGCTTACGTGCCTCTTCCACTTGAAACAGCCCAGGTTACTCTAATCCTTTTCTCCTTTCTAAGCAGAAGGTGCTCCCCCCTCTAACACACGCACAAAAGAAATGACAGGAAAAGTGAAACAGCTTGAATCTCCTCTTTCCTACCTATGAAGATACTGACCTGGCCACAGGTGCCTCGGTCTCGGATTTCCAAATACCACGTGAAATGCCAGTCCTAGGTGACTGGAAGGGCCGGCTCAGCAAGGTCTCTGCCCAGAAGCTCTGAGGCATTCAAGGGTATTGAATTTCCTGACCTCTCTGTTTGTCCAGGATAACGAGCAAAGCCTGCCATTTACTTCACTTTAAGACACTTTTCCTCCAGTGACCCCAGATTCCGAAGCCACTGTGGGATTCACTGGTGCAGTTAGGACGCTCTCGGAGGTGTATTGCCACATCAATTAAAAGAGCAAGATGTATTTGATAGTAATAACCGGTGTCGGAAAAACGAAAGAAATCACAGCAGTACATTAAGCTGAAAGGCACGAACGTATATCACTCACCGCAAAAGAAATACTGTCTCAATATGGAGTCTATTCATTTTTGAAAAGTCAATCCTTCTTTTTACTGATAATAAAGGCAAGTGTCAACCCTGATTAAATGGTCACCATCAAATCCTGAGTTAGCTTCTACTGGAACGAAAGCAGACTATGTTTCCATGAGAACTGCTCGTGTGCACAGATTTCTATGGCAAATGTATATAAGAATTTATTTGTTGACTACACTAACGAACTACTCTTGCGTAAAGGAAACGGGAGGTGGCAGCATGGCTGAAGGCACAGAATTAAGACGAGCAGGAAGGTCCTGCAGGAAGATCTGAATAAACAAGGCGGAGAGACCTTCACTGACTCCGTGAGAGGTATGGTTCTGCCTTCAGGATTCCTAACGGCGGGCCTCCCGTGAGAGCAAGAGAAAGAAGCCCAAAGAAACTGACATACAGACGGAAAAAAGTGAAAGTCTGACAACTTCCAGTATGACAGTACTGAGTTCCGATGGATGCAGAGAAGCCCACGAGACACATAAACACTACGAACAAGGTAGAAGTTTCCTTCAACTGCTGTCATCTAAAATCAACCTTTAGAAACACTGAACCGATCAGACAGATAAATTGTGAGCTCGCTTTACAAAGGGTTTAAGCTAGAGCTGTTTAAATGGGTGCCTCTGGGGGTGTCGGCTTATTTGCCTCTACTGATCAGCACTCCAGGGCAGAGAGCTGGGCTACAGTCACAGGTCCCCAGCAGGATGGCGTGAGGATGGCTGTTGTGTTTGTCGTCGGCAACCAAGTCGCAGCAGTCTCTCTAAAGGTTTTGAAAAGTCACCTTGGCTGGGACTAAAAGTAAGGTTAAGAGATTTAGCTGGAAATTAAGCCCCTACATGTATAGGAAAATGAAATTGAACTTTCGAAATTTGTATGTAGAATCAAGGTTTTTAAGGACAGAGCTATTTCCTGAAGCAAGCTATGTGGGAGCAACGAACCCCAGCACTCCTTCCCACACCCCCTTTCCTTTCAGACCCTGCACCGACACCTGGAGAGGAGAGGAGAGGACACAGACCTTCCTTGGGAGAGAAGTTGAGGAACTGATCCACTTCGTGAGGCTCCAGCTTGATCTGAGGAATAATGGTCTGGCACGAAGAATCGACCTAAAGGAAGAATTTCAAACACAGTTTTTAAAAACCAGTAACAGCCCCGCGGAAACACTCAGGGGAGCTATTCGCCACCTGTGTTTTCCTCTGAGGACAGCCCTGCCTCTCTGGAGTCAGCTGAGGCCCAGCGGAACACAGGCGGCTTCTCTGGCAGGGAGGTGGCTTAGCTCTCAAACCCCACGCTCATTGCCAAAGCTGGCGTTACAGATGATGGAACCCTCTAAATTCTAAAATTAATAACCCCCGGCTTACTCACTGGTGCTTCTTTTTATTGTCTTCATGGTAACATAAAGGCATTTTTATCGCAAAGTAGTCTGGCGAATTTTTAAAAGGCCACAGACCTGTACCAGTGTGTCCTGGAGTGGGCACAGATTGGACCACGCCTCACCCATTCTCTACAGGCTTCCTGATGGCTGACGACATTTAACCATCAACGACTCAGTAGGGAAAAGAGACAAGGTATCTGGTCCACACACAGGGAGCGAGGCCAGGACTCTGACCTTTCTAGTAATATACTTAAAAATCAGCTGACCCAAAACATCTGTGGAGCGAGGAGACTACTACACACTCTAGAAAGCCAGTCCGCTGAGCAGACCCAGGGAGCTGCTGAGCAAGGAGCTCTAGGGCCGGGTGCAGAGGTGCTGTCTCATCCCTCGTCTTCTCACAGGCGGACTGTAAACAGCTCTGAGAATGAGCGTGCCGAGAAGCGGGCGGCTCTACTGCTTCTGCGCGACCTTGTCCTGAACAGGCAGACAACTGCACCTTGCTCAGAGAAGATCTGACTCAGGAAGCATCAGTAGAGTCATCGTTAGCACCTGAGGCTTTAACTGAAAGTTAGGACTGGCTTCCAGCATCCGTCAAAAGGCGCACAAGTATGATTCTGGTCCATCGGCAGACGCTGGAAATACCCAGAGAGAAGGCAGAATTCCACCTGCTGTGGGCATGGAAGAAATCCCAAGTTTCTATGTTTTCCACGGGTAACTTAGTAAGACTCGATAGGTGGGAAGTCTCTGAACTGGGTCAGGACAACGCAGCATCACACTAGGAGTGTAAAGGACAGCAGAGGAACCAGCATTCCCAGCAGCCGTGGGGCCACAAGCCCTGATTGCATCACCATCTTCACTGCGCCCTTTCTACTGGCTTAAAAACCAGTCCCATGGAGAACATTTTAACCATGGATATCCATCTATGTTCTTTTTTTAAATTTTGTAATAGCTATTCTAGAAAAAGTGAACTCAGACTTGCTATGAATTTTTCTGGATGGCTTCAAAGGAAGTGATATAATCAACGTTGACACCAACTCAATACATCCTTGATACACACACACACACACACACACACACACACACACACACACACACACACACGGAGCTATATATCCTTAAACATATACAGCCGCCACTGGCTCCAAAAAGATTAAATGACTTATTGGAGAATAAAGATCTATGTTTTCTGATCCAGCTTGTTTATATGGATGAAAATTGAGCATACCCCAGTACTCATTTCCAGAGGAGGTTCCACCTTCTCTAAAGGGGTGGAGATGGCTGTGATGGTCAAAGTAACAGAGGGAACAAGTCCCGGGGGTGGCTCATCCGTGATCGGCTCAGTCTTGATGGTTGCTGAAGGAAAGTCTGTACACAGGTACCATTTCTCACTTTCCACATCATCTGTGGGGAAAAGGACAAGCACACGTGTGAACCGGTTCAGGGCTTCAGTCATAAGTGAAACAAAGGCCCACTGATCTTTCTCTTTAAAAAAAAAAAAGCTCCAACAAAGAATTATTGAGAACGGAATAAAAGGAAATAAAATGAGAATGTGAGAGAGGAGATCAATGGATAAAGAAACGAATGGCAAAGTAAGAATCAGTACTTGTATTCAGTTGAGGGTAAGTCTGCCTAAAGAAACTCTGGAAGGACACACACCAAAGAGAGAAACGTGGCTTCCTGCATAGGCAGGAAGGAGGCTGGGTACGTGGGGAAGAGGATACGAGGGACAAATTCAGTGTGTCCTGTTTCCTACTTTCTCATTTTCAAAGTTCATGCATTAGCCATTCAAAAACAAATAAATATATTCACTGAAAAATAAGAAAGAAAGTAGCAAATGGTTGGCAACCAGAATCTCAGGAGAGAGGATCGAAGATAGAAGGTTATTTCTATCTTTCTCTCAAGTTATTTGTTTTCTTTATTTTTTCTTCTCGCTCCGTGTATTTTGTCCTCTTAAGAGCCCATGTATGCCTCATACTGAACCTAGACTTCCAGAACTTTACTCAGCCCTCGGGAACACGTCAGAGTTTGTAACACATGCCTGCCTCTTGCCGAAAGGGTCTACATGCTCATCCAGAGAAAAGCGCTGGGTCGTGGCGAGTCTGGGTCTCGGCTCGCCGCTGGCTTTCGTGAGCATCACAAGGCCTGGGGATGGCGTCGCAGCAACGAGACAGAGCAGACGGAAGCCCTGCTATCACTTCGCACACATTCGTCGGGGCGCCGAGTTCCTTCCTTCAGAGCTAGGACCTCAGCACAGCCCTCGAGGAAGGAGGGAGGAAAGGCAGAAAGGAGAGGACGAAGAGATTGGAAAACAGGTGCAGAACAAGAAAAACGAGCCAGACGTCCCCCCAAATCAGCATTCCTTACCGAACCCTAGTTTTACTACAATGAGGCGAAAATAAACGAGCAAAGATGTGCTCCCGCGCTTTACGAAGACACGCAAACGCGCATACGCCACATGCTCGGTGAACCCCTGCCGCACAGGGGACCGAAGTCACTCACATTATGAAATGAATGTACACTTGAGAACTGGACTCAACTTTTCTCACAAAAAGGTACACACGCGTCACGTAAGGGTAGGGAAGGGCGAGCACAGAAGCAAAAAACTGAAGTTCCCAATTATTAAAATAGCATCTCATGAGCAACTTCCTTCACACACAGGAAGAAGTTAGCGTCGCATTCACAAAGGAAAAGGATCTACCCCTAAATCCAGTTGATAACTGACTTAACCACCCCAGCCCCATTTATTTCCTGAAGTAAAATAAAGATGGGGAAGACTCCTGTGGGTTGAAAATGACTTGCTTTCCGAGCTAGTTCCATAGAGCCGCTGAGTGCAGTGCAGTGACGGGGAGTTTCCGTCTTTCGAGGCGTGTGCCACATCCTGGCCGAGGGGGAGGGGGAGGAAACAAAGGGCCTTTTGATGGCAGCCACAGAAGGGAGACCACACTGCGGCTGACACAGAATTCTGCTGGCCAGATGGACGCCTCAGCTCCGTTTAGAGAAGCGACCAGATGAGGAGCCGAAAGAAGATGCTAAGGTCTCTCCCAAAAGGAGCCGAGGAACTAGAAGGCTGTCACCTGCAAGGAAGACACATGGAGGACAGATCTGGGGAAGGGATGGAGAGACAGAGATAGCAGAGATCACACTTTCTCTGTTCAAGAGTAACACGTGGATGCCTCTGCTTTGTGAAGTTAACGCTTACGGCCTGTCCATGCTGAGCAATATTTATCCCTGGCAGAGGCTGGAAGAGAAAGAGTACAGTGAAATATAAAGCCTCGGTATATATTAAAATGAACAGTCGGGGGACATACTGGAGAAAAAGGTCATATGCAATTACCAGGAAATTGCGAGATAAGGTCAGATCCCCTGGCCGTGAAATTATGATTACTGCGATGAAACTTAAGTCACAAGGCAAACAAAAGAAAAGGCAAAAATAAACACAAAAAGCATATACAAATGTAGAAGACAAAATGAAGACAGGTAATGAAACTGGTTCTTCCAATCTACCTAAGCCATTCTCAAAGAGAAACATTCATAAAATAGGTCAAGAGAGTTTATATTCTTAATGTTCAGCGTTCTATACTCCCATTTTAAAAGAAATATATCTACATATATATGTGTGCGTGTGTGTGTGTATATATTAGTTCACATATGCAGATATACATATAAAATCATCGCTGTATCAGAGATGAAGACTAAAACGCAAACGATGGCACTTGAACTTGGAAACAAATTTCCTGTCTCAAAGACAATTGAACTCTTCCAAGTGAGAAGCCCCCCAAAAAAGCTGCCTGTCTCTCTTCCCCTCAATTTTCTGAGGACAACCAACTGGTATTACCTTCATGCTTCCATTCCAATACAGCAAGTTAGTCTTCTGTCTTGAAAGATACCTTGTGAGTTAGAAGTTTAAGGCCCTCAAGCTCCAATATGTCATTTTATAGATGAAGAAACTGACACGCAGGTCTCGATCACACAGCGAATTAGAGGCAGGACCCAGATCTCCGCCCTCCTGATCAGTATCCTTCCCATTCAGAAAACAACTACACATGGGGGTAAAGATTTATGCACGGATATGCTCACCACTGTTTTATATATAATCACAAAACACTAAAAATAACCGAAAAATTAAAGAGCAAGAGCAAAGTTAGTGAATTACGGTGTGCCTAAACAATTGAATATTTATGTATCTAGTAACGTTACACGTATTAAGCCTTTTTAATAACAAAGCAAAGATTTATGATAGACTAGTAAGGGGGGAAACCTAGATGTAATTTGTACACTATTAATAAAGAAAATGATAGAAAAAAAAAAAAAGACTGAAAGGAAATATGCCAAAAGACCAAAATATCTCTGGAGAATAATTCAGAACACGTGTGACTCCTTTTTTCTTTAAATTTTATACCATTTCTAAATTGCCCATACTGGAAATACATCGTCCCTGGATGTTCACACTCGGACATGGTCTACTTCTTCTTGTGCTACTTTAGGCCTTACGATGGCGATTATTATAAGCCCCTGTGGCTGAAGGGGTCCTTTCAGCATCCTTCGACTCAACAGAGTCAATGAGTACCTTCATGGATATAATAAATTGCATTGCTGGCTCCGGCTCTTCACCTCCCCTCTCTCCAAGTCCTCTGCCATGTACCTTCCCATTGTGTATGGATGAGTCCCCCAACACTGGGAGCGGCTACGTGACTCGCTTTGGCCAAAGGACGTCAGCTCCCTAACACAAGCAGACTCTTGAAATGCGCTTGCGTGACTGGACTTACATCCTTGTACTTTTGCCATCACATGAGAAGGATGTGTCAGAAGGATGAAAAACACATAAAACAGAGTTACCCCCAAATGAGCCTGGCTAAGATCAGCCGACTCTCAGCTGGCTGTAGACATGAGAGTGAATCTAGCTAAACCCAGCAAAATCACTCAGCTGCGCCCCATCCCCTAAATCAGCCAACCTCCAGTCAAGGCATAGACACATGAGCTATACTAATAAATGACTGTTGTTAAAGTTAATGAGTTTGGGTTTTTTAAAATATGCAGTGACATAATTGGCTGATACAATACAGCTGAATGTATGTACAAGATAGTAAATTATTACATCAGAATCTATTGCAACAAAATAGCTATACTTCGTTTCCATAATAATTCCTCTCAACTATCAACCGTGAACCATATCAACACATATTTGTAGGCTGACTGATTAGACCTACCAGTTACATCATAAAACAAATGACTTAAGAGAAGAAAGTCAGCCAGTGAGAAGCCTGGTGACAACAACATTCCAGTGGCGGTTGAAATTAGAGAAAAGAGCTTTCATTTTAAAACTACTGGGTGTTGGCTTATACTCTGTCCCTCAGTGGAAATAAATACCAAACCAGAGGAAACAAAATGACAAATGTAACCTATGAGGTAGGGGTTAACAAAGGGCGGAGTAAAAGGAGACGAATAGGACACGTATTATCATTTTTCTGCATGACCTTATTTTTGTCTTTTATTTTATTGGCAAAAGATTAGTACGGCCACCATAGCTTAGACCTCGAATTATCCTTAGATATTTGAGTTGTTGGCTAAACTACAAAAGCAAGTGTCAGTACACACTCTATACCCTCTAATTTCCAAAGCTTGAAGCTAGATATATTTTTTTAAAAAATTTTTTCCTAAATTGTTTATATGCCATTTAAGATGGGAAACATCGCCCACTGAGGTCAGGAGTGCATACTATGGGAAGTAGGGACCACTGCCATATCATCTGAGTTTATTTAAAGAACTTCCGGTCAAAGGTCACATTAAACGGGCACATTCCCTCAGCACCACCACTTAGCTATCAGCCAGAAAATAAAAACAAGCCAATGTCTCGTGATGATGAGCAAGTCCTTCACATGCAAGGACAAAATGGAGCAATTATGAGCAGTGAGGATAGACACCGAGATCACCCAGACAGCATGGTGCACAGAGGGGCCAAAAGACAGGAAATCAAAGCCAGCGTAGAGGCAACACCAAAATGCAGATCCTCGACCACTTCCGTGTGTACTGCGTAAATAACCGCAATGAATAGATACTGATTCCTGGAAAGGGGGGGATTAAACTCTAAATTAGGAGTACATGGTATCTTTAGAAATGTTATACTATGTATATGCTACTTGTATGTGTATATATACGCACAAACACACATGTACATATGCGTACATACATAGTGCGTGTGTGCACATATTCCTAAAAGGAGCAATCGCATGGGACAAATGTCACGTATGAGATATACCCACATATATATCCATTTACTATTTATACAACATGTCCAAAGTGAAAGAAAATTTTTGTAAAGTAAATAAGTATGCTTCATCTGAATCCCTCGGCATTTGATAACTGTGTTTGCCCTTTGAAATTTTTCAAAGGAGTTGGCAAAT